ACACATTTTATACTGTTGAAAATTCAACTCAAGAAAGCCAGTAACAGACAGGGAGGACTGATGATCAAAGGGATTAAGACTGGGCTGGTTTAACCCCCAGAAACAGCTGACCAGACAAAGGTTAACTCTTGAATCCCAGGCATCAGCCTGGGAATCCAGCATGGGACTGATCAAGACCCCCTGAATCTGGGTGTCAGTGAGGAGGCCTAGGTAATCTATTGAGCCTTGGGCAGCAGATCAGTACCCATCCCAAGTATACACACGGACTTTGGACTCCCATAGAACAATGTGAGGTGCACTCTCACCCTGAACTCTTGGGGAAGGGTCTAGGCCCTGCCCTATATGAAATGACAGACTATGGACACCCCCATAGAGGGCCTCACCCTCCCTGGGGGAATGAGGGGATAACGGGGGGGGGGAGAGCACGGGAGGAGGGGAGGGAAAGGGAGAGGGACCTGGAACTGACTTGTGGAGTAACCTTGTTTCTTATCTAAATTTAAACTGGAAAAGAAAAAAAAGAAAAAAATAGGAATTCTCTTATCTAAGTAAATCATCATATTATGCCTATGTAAATACCACTCAAGAAATATTAAGCATAAACTGAAATTTTAATTAAATTAATTTTAAATGTGAAAAAAAAAGAAAATTCAACTCACAGAATTCAGGACGATCTTACCAAGGAAAAGTAGACAGAGATATGAGGATAGAAAGAGACTTCATACACTGGAGAAGGGTAAAAGAACCAAGAGTCTAGATAGCAACAAGGAAGGCTGTGCCGTTACTCAAAAGGAGGGCATTTCTTGGTTTTATAGGCCAACTAGCAATCCTTGCCCCTTTAAGACATTAAGAACAAATATGCTCCAAGGAGGGAGTGGTGTCTAGTCATTAGGAACAGGACATAGAGCCAGATTTTTGACTTTTTATTCTTGGCTGTGCCACATGATCTCATTGTAGTTCTGGCAAACCTCCCCTCTCAACATCTTGAGCTCTCTCTTGACACATCTGTAAAGCGTACATAAGTACTAGGGTAGACAAAGGCTGGAGGACATCAATCTATGAGCAGGAATCATGGTTCCAGTGGAGAAGTGTGAAAGCATCAACAAACTTCACATTCTGATGACGAGCTCAGGGAGTCTCCCATTGAGAAATATTTGAAAACCACAAGAGTGAATCAAGGGCCAAGAAGTCCATACAAAGTAGGAAAGCACTGTATAAACTGTACAGGAGAAGTCTAGGCAAGATACAAAACCAGGCTTTAAAATAAACTTCAAAGCAGAACTGGGAAGACAACTGGGTGGGTAAAGTATTTATTGAATAAGCACAGGGAATTGAGTTTGGCTCCCCAGAACCTTTGTAAAAGCCAGATGTGACAGAAAGCATCTGTGCCCCTACAACTGGGAAGCAGAGTCAGGTACATCCAAGGGTTCGCAGTGGACCAGCTAGTCCTGCATAAATGGTGAGATACCAGGTTCAATGAATTACTGTTTCAAAAACGAATCTGGAGAGTAATAGAGTAAGACTGCGGGCATCGCATCGATGTCCAACTTCTGTATGCACACATTGTCATATATGTCCTCACATGCATGCATAACACACTCACATGTACACACACACACACACACACATGCACACCACATATAAAAAACTACACAACTTGTATAGGACACACAAAATTACCAACAATTAAGATTCCTAGCCATCATGTTTCTTCTGTTTTGGAGCTACTGGAGAATTTTTAAACTTCAGGCTTAGGAAACCACTTAAAGGTCATAAAATCTAATCTTTCTTGCAAAATAGAAATCTTTTTCTTGCCAGTTATATGCTGGTAGTGATTCCCAATGCCACAAGCCTTATCATTTCATGAGGCAATCCCTCATTGCAACACGCAAGTAATGAGAAAATGGTTCCTTATACTACATCCTACTAACCTCTTCTCTTTGTGCAATCCAACTGAGTTGTAAAAAACAGAAGTTATTCTGCAAAACTAGGATGGCCAACCATCTGCTGGTACAAAACTTTTCAGTGCCAAAACCAGAAGACTCTCAGCAAATTGAATGATCGTCACCTTGAGTAAAAATACAGACACCTTCAACAGAAGGTCCAAAAGAATATATGCTCTCCCAGAAGATGAATACACCCTTTGGGCTGAAAGTGCTTTGGAAGCATTGCCTCTCAGATCAAAGAACTGTGTTTAGATTTTCCTGGATGGGGACTGTCAATATGATTATTTTATTTCACTTACATGGAACATGACTGCTTTTGTATTCTGGGTACTATCCAAAATAGCATTTCCTGGATTAATCAGAAAATTTCATTTGAAGTCTTCACCTTGTAGACAACCTTGTGTCCCTTCTACAAAATGCATGCAACCCAGATTAACAGCAAAGTAGTCTCTTTGGAGAAATTGGAGAAGAAATGGGTAAGAGGTCAGGGCTAGAGTTTGGAAACTGTTATCAACTCAGCAAATGCAAGTGAGCAATTTAATCTTCAGAAATCTTCCCAAAAGAACAATGCTTATTAAAACATCCAGGGAAGGAATCTAAGCCCTTTTAGCTTTGCTCAGTGGAATGTATTCCATGAGATTCAAGAAGCCTTAGAGAATGATCCTAAGAGTTACAGAGGGAGAGTTACAGTGGAGTTCACCCTAGGGAGGTGGTTCTTTAGGGAAGGGATGGTGAGAATGGGTGACTCTAAGGCAACGCTAAAGGAAGAATAATAGGAATTGGGGAGTTCTTCGATGGAGACCTTCTGCTCTACAAGTGCAGAAGCCATAAAACCATCTATATGAGCCAGCTACCAATTTGTTAAATAGTTATAGAGTCAAGGTTCCTAGAAAGAAAACTATCAGCTTTCACTCTTAGCAGGAGAAACCTTTGTTCTAACGAAGGAAGAAGAGTAGGCAGAAAGGCATGTAGGTTCCTACACCAAGATTCCCTGCTGGCTTCCCTAAATTGTAAGCAGCTTTGTATGAATCAAGCACTTTCCCAGGCTATCAAGGGGCAACTTCTCCTTGAACTCATTTTTCTACAGGGCAAGAACAAGAAAACTATTCAGTATGCACTTTTTTTCATCCCAAATTTTATTTGCTAATACAAATTGGCTATGTAGCTGCAATGGCTTGTATGAACTCCATTTGGAATCATGATGAAGTTCAAGAGGTTAATCAAATTATTAACATTTTAAAGGAAGGGAAATTTTCTTTCCCAGATGGCTTAACAGGTGACTCCTATAAATTATACAGTACATTACAGCGGGCATCCGCTAGCACTGTTATAGTAGAGAGGCTGTCAACATTTCCATTATATAGCCCTATTTTCAAAGTTTATAACTCAGCTATAAAACTCTGCTCCAAGATGGCTCTTGGCTTTCTAGCAGAATTTTCAACTTAGCAGCAGTGGTTGTTTTGTTTTGTTTTTTTCGCTTCTTTCTTCTTCAGTTCCTTCTTCTCATCTTCCTCATCCTTCTTTCCCTAGTCCTAAGCATTTTAGATCACTGCTCTAGGGCCTGAAGAGGTGGCCCTGGAGTTAAGAAGAGAACCCATTCAATTCCTAGCACCTACACTGAGTCTAACAAGCTCCTGGAACTCCAATTCCAGGGGATCTGATGCCTTTTTCTGGTTTTTGCAGGCATCAAGCGCACACACAATGCATATGCATATAGACAGACAGCAGAAAAACACCCATAAATGAAGAGTAAGAATAAATAAATCTTAAAATACTGCTCTAAGTTTCAAAAGGACTTCCTCATAGGGAAACCTTTCAACCCCCTTTACTCAAACACCATTTTTTAATGCTCAGGTACTGAAGATCTTTCCTTCCTTCCTTCTTTCTTTCTTTTTAAAGAAACTATTAAGATTAAGGTATTTTCATCATACTTTATAGCCGCAATGAAGATGTGGGCTTCCCAAGAAGAGATTTTTACCAAAGAAATCTTGCTCTTATTTTCTTCATGAATTTCCGTTATTTCATCAAGTTGCTCACAGTGCCTTGGAAAACGTAGTGCCAGCACAGTGACTTCCAGAAAGAGTTTAAAGGCCACCAGGGTAGAGAGAGACCAACACAAAATACCAAGTGACAAGAAAGGTGCACAAATGACAGAAGGCCTGCAGTTCCAAGTCTGGGCGACCACAGCCTGGGGAGTTTTTGTGGCCTCTTCAAGCCTGGGATGCAGACTAAACAAAGTTCCCTGACTTTGACCATGACAACCTCAGAGGCCAGGCCAGAGGGTGGGGAAGACAAATGCGAAAACAGCCAACTGCTCAAGCCAGAGCCTGCCTGCTACCTCACTGCTGCTGACCTTGGAACTTAACCCCCCACTATTCTCATCTCAGACAGAAAGCTAAGCCACATGGAGACTTTCTCTGCCAATGCAGGGGAGGCAGCATTCCAGGAATGAGATCGAAACATTCTCACGGGGACAAGCAAGAACAGAGGAGTTCTCGGTGGCCCTTGACCAAATTTCCCCCGACAAACAAGGCAAAAGGGTTTATCTGAAAAAGCCTCAGAGAAGTGGTCTTCCTCAAAATGTCAGCACTTGTCATGGTGAGAATTTAGTACCTCCTAAAGTCAGGGATCAGCTGCCCCCTGGAGGAGAGATGTCCCGGGGCACAGAGCAGTCGGTTTCTCCCTGAGAAACCCAGCAGTCTCCACCTACATCAAGGCAAAAGACAGAGGTTTCTTGGATTGCTCATCCGACAGCATTTTGGATTGAGAAATGTTCCAGTGGACAGTGCGAAGATTTATCTACTGAACTCGACCCAGGCACATCTGTGCAAGAGCCTCGCTCACTCGGGCCGCTCTCCGGCTGAGTGCCTTCTCATAAGCTGTTCCTGGGTTTTGGTTAACACGCTTGCTCATTAGCAAAGGGATTTGGCGCAGAGGAAAACTACGTCTCGCTACAGTTCATCTTCTCCTCTGAGCCCTGTAGTCATGTCATAATATTTGAATTTGTGATATACATCGCCGTCATTGCCATAGCAATAGAAACAGCAGTGGTTGTGGAAACAGGAGAAGAGAACTGGGAAGAACTTGAGCATCTGCTCCTGGCCCTGCCTCAAACAGGTACACAGCTAAGCAAGCTGATAACTCTTTTCAGTCAGCCTGGTCACACGAATTCTATGCCTCAGCTTGTGGTTCTATAGATGAATGCATGACTGTCTCAGGCCTGTCTGAGCCAACCAGAGCTTCAGATGGTAGGGATGTGTCTCATCCAACCCTTTCTCTGTAGTGTTTCACCCAATGTCTACAAATAGTAGATACAGAAATTTATTGAATGATAGGAATGTGGTATATTGAGCCTAAAATCAACATAATGAGATTTGACCTTGACTTGTCTAAGTAAAACATCTCCTGTTATAATTTAAACATATTTAAAATTTTGATTATTATATATGAAAAAGTAAACTTTTGAAGTATACTCATGAAATAATTTTCATTCTGACTCCTGAGGCTACTGATTCCCTGCCTAACTCTTTAAATATTCTTCTCAAAAACTAACAAGTTCTTCATCTTAATGATTCCCTTCTTGGTACAGCATCTGTGATAAACTGTTTCTTTGTTTATGTGTTAAACTCTGGGGGGATTTAAAGGATTAAATAAGGATTCTGGAATCCTCTATTGTAGTTCCGATATCACTGTCTCAGGGAAATCTTGCTGTCTTCATTTCTTTTCCTGTTGCTGTGATTAAATGCTCTGATCAGTGACGGTTTTACTTTGGTTCACAGTTCAAGGACTACTTTATCATGGCTGAAGTTAAAGTCAAAGTGACAGAAGCTTGAAGTAGGTGGTCACATGACATCCACAGTGAGGAGCGAACAGAGGGCAAAGAATGCATCCTGCTGCCTAGTCCCCTTTCTAAGCATACACTGTGTATTCCAGGACCCCAGCCAGGGAATGGCTCCACCCACAGTGGGCAGCTCTCAGCCACCAAGGTAATACCCACAGGCATGCCTGTGGTAATAGCTTGCTTGTACAATAAAGCCTGTCTGAAGGTCAGAGAATGGAGCTCACCACCAGCTAACCATAGGTGTCCCGAAGTCTGTATAGACAGACAGGAAGTGAGCTAGCTGGGCAGAAACAGGATATAAGCACAGAGAAACAGGAACTGGCACTCTTATCTGCTTGTCTCTCTGATCTCTCAACATTTTCTTCAATATCTGACTCCGGGTTTTTATTATCTAGACCATTAAGAACTCATTTACATTTTGGGGCTCACATGGCCAGAACATTAATGGCAAGGACAGGGGCAAATAGCCCAACGAGGGTTTCAGTCTGACTCTGAGAAAGCCACCAGCTGTTGTAGGCTCACTCAGTCAAGCAGGGTGTCCTTGACTTCCTGATATTCCCCTCTACCCTGCACCAGTGGCTTACACAATCCTTAGAGCCTTTTTGTTTGAATTCCTAGACCACGATGCTTCCCAGAGCTGGCACATCCAGTCTAGCTCACAGCTTCAGCCTGCAGCTTCCGGCTTCACCCACTACACGCCCTTGCAGCCTGCTGTGTTCTAATCGGTGACTGGCAATCAGTGCACACAGGTTGCTCCTTTTTTTCCCTTTCTCTTTAATGAAAAACAGTCCAGAGTCCCACCAGTATTTATCCCTAGTGCACAAATGGCTTTGGGAGCCCATTCCCTTTGAAGCGATACTCTCTCAGCCTACATACACGGAGGAGGGCCTAGGTCCTGCCCCAAATGATGTGTCAGACTTTGATGATCCCTCATGGGAGGCCTAACTCTCCCTGGGGAGTGGATGGGGGGTTGGTGGGGAGCATGGGAGGATGGGAGGGAGAGGGAACTGGGATGGTTATGTAAAATAAGATTGTTTTTAATTTAAATAAAATTTTATTTAAAAAATAATAAATGGCCTTGGAGCACAATAATAAGAAAAATGTGTTTAAATTACAAAATGGTAAAAGCAGAATTTGTCTGTTGCAATAAGTAGAAGAGGGAAGGACCCTGCTATAAAACTGAGCTAAATTCCAAAGACAAATGTGTGGAAAATTGATTGCCAAGAAGCTAAGGAACAGATTAGAGTTAGGATTGGGATACAGGTGGAAAATTAAGATCAAGGACAGGAGAATTTTTTTGGCTAAATTGTTCTACCAGTATTCTTTCAAAAAGCAAGCTAGAATCTATATCCAAGATGTGGTATGGATAGGTGAGACAATATCAAGATATCTTGGTTGAGGTTGAGTCTCAGCAAACTTAATGGGACTCTTGCTAAAACTGGGTATGCAAGTCCAGCAAAAATAAAAGTCCAAGTGAAGACCTATTAAGAAGCATACCCAGAGGACAATATAAACAGTGCAACCAAGATAAAATTTAAACTCAACCTTCCATGTTTTTGTAAATGAAACATTGTCTTACTTAGGTTTTCTGCTGCTATGAAGAGACATCATGGCTATGGCAACACTTAGAAAACATTTAATTGAGCTGGCTTACACTTCCAGAGGTTTAGTCCATTGTCTTTAAGACAGAAAGCATGGTAGCATGCAGGTAGACATGGTGCTAGAGAGGGAGTTGAGAATTCTAGATCTGGATTGGCAAGCAGTAGGAAGAGTTAATGAGCCAATGAGTCTCGACTTGAGCTTCTAAGACCTCAAAGATAACCCACTAGTGACACACTTCCTCCAACAAAGCCACACCTACTCCAACAAGGCCACACCTCCTAATAGTGCCATTCCCTGTGGAGCAAACATTCAAAAATATGAATTTATGGGGCCATTGGTATTCAAACTGCCACAGACATGTATTGTGTCATTTCTAGTTAACAGACCGAGAAAATTTCCTATGAGCTCTTTCTTTTCCTTTTCTACTTTTTATTATCATTCCTCCTAACTCCACCAACTACAGTAAGAATGAAAACTGACAAAATACAAAATGAAATTTGTCCCAAGTAATGCCAATATTTTATTGAAAACTTCCATGTGAACCTAGAGTCTTCATAATTTGAATGCAGCCTCTGGGTCCCCATTAGACCAGGATTCAACTATATTCTCAGTAAGTGTTGGAGACCCTTGAGTTGGTCCTTCAGCTGAATAATAGATACAAGTATGTCTAATCTCCCTTTGGGTCATATATGTAAGCACTAACAATTTAAAACTTTTGACCTGAGGACCTGTGATAATTATTTTTAACTCTCAACTAGACACCTTCTGGAGTCTCATGGAAAGAGCCTCAGTGAAGGATTATCAGGATGGCCTGTGGGTGTGTCTTACATTAATTGATAAAGAATGTCTCAGTCTAACAGTGGTGGCACCATTACCTAGGCTTAGATTCTGAACTATATAAAAGAAGAGAAAGTGTGTCTCACACAGCATGAGTATATTCATTCTCTCCATTGTTGACTGTGGGTGTGTCTATCTGCTTCGCATAGCTGCCTCTGACTTCCCTGCAATGAGACTATGGCCTGCACTTGTGAGCCAAGTAAAGCCTTTCTTTCTAAGTTTCTTCTGTCAAAATATTTTATGACAGTAATAGGAATAACTAAACAGCCCCTGATGGCTTTCTCACTCTTTTTGTGCCTCTCTGCCACTTCCATCAGAGGGACATCCATTGGTCTCCCTACTCGATATTAGCCAAAGGCCAAGAGATGTCATGTGTCTTCCCTTTCTGTTAAGTATGAGTTAGTTTATGAGGAATCTCTTTTCTCATTAGTCCTTTTGTACTCTGTGTGTATGTGTGTGTGTGTGTATGTGTGTGTGTGTGTGTGTGTGTGTGAGTGATCATCTTTGCATCTCCTCTAATCAATACTAATTTTCTAGAATTTTCTTCCACAGCTAAGCAAATCTAGCCCCATTTTCACTTCACATTTTCTTCTCATGTTTCTATCAGGATTTTTATTGTTTTTTAAACCTTAATAGAGTAGAAATAGCTCAACAAGAGCCTTGTTAAATGAATTGGTGAATGAATCAATGAGGAAATAAATGCTATTAAAAACCAGAGAAATCTAAGTAGTAAACCTACATATTAGACAACTATATGGGCAATATGTGTTGATTATACACCACCAAGTCACCCTGCTTGTCCATGCCATTTTCTAATGATCTGGATCTCATTAAGCACTTTGTGAATTAATTCCCAAGAAGCCAATGATTGGGCCCTAGAAAACTAAAATGAAATAAACCCAAGCTGTGAACATTTTCAGTATGAGTGATCTTTCAAAACATTTCAAATTAATATATCCCTTTTATATTTCTAATGTTGGGAATAAAGTCTGAAACAGCCAAAACAAACACAACATTTGTAAATATAGTCTTGATAAGTAGAACAGTGTGTGTGGTGGGTAGGAAAGAAGGCCAAATTCATGATCCCTGAAATTGCAATGTCTGCCCCACACCTGTGAAAGAAGTTGTAATTCAAATGATGGCATTTTCTAACAGAGACTGTTGTCTAATGTGAACAACAGTTTCTACCCAAATAAAAATATTTTTAAAACTTCTGAATGTGAGTCTAATATGGAAATGGATTTGAAATAAACATTAAACATGTTCTCATCTGTTGCTGTGCTGAGTCACTGAAGAATAACCTCCCCATGTTCATATTTTCAGACTAATTGGTCCATGGCTGCCAGACATGAAGAAGAAAGAAAATGTGAACGTCAATAATTCCACTAGGCTGTAAAAGATGCACTACAGACACATCGCTATGTGGAGATGAAGTCTGGGATTAACACTGGAGTCAAACCAGGGTAAACATTCCTAGGTTGTCAGAACATTTTATCCAACAATTAATCATAATCAGCACATTCCAATAGCCCTGATTAATTTCATGCCTAATTTTTTACATCTCAAAACTTCTATCACAATATATTTACATATCTAACCCTTAGAAGATATTGTTTCCTAATGAGTTTTGGACATAGGAGAAAGAATTTGGAGCAAAAGAAGAAAAAGATAAAAGGGCAGGGGGCACATGAAGTTGGGAGGGGAAAGTGTGAAAAGTAAGGAAGGAATTGGAAGGGTGAGAATGTGGATGGATTTGATCCGTACATACTATATGCATATCTGAATACTAAGGTTTTGTTTTAAGAGAAGAAAAATAAAGAGAATGGAATGGGAGACGACAGCAGCAAGTCAGCAGTACCTCTGCAAGGAAGCAGAGGGAAAACTTAAAGGAAAAGGGCACTCACATTGCTTCTCCTGGTTCAGTCTAGCCTGTCTTCTGGGGAAAGATCAAGCTAGCAGGCAAGCCCTACTCCTGTCTCCTCAGGACAGAAGCACTGGTGCCAGCCCCTCCTGCCCACCTAAATCCTGACTGCTTTCAGTCTCCGTGTCATTGAGAAGTCTACTGAGTCTAAAGCATCCTGAGTCCTAAGGCCTTAATCTCAATTACAGAGTCACCTATCCACTTTCATAGTTTTAGTGTCATTGTGGCCACCTGCACATCAACCTTGGGGTACTCAGGGTGATGTCAATGGTAAACAGAGACAGACACAGGGAACACCTGCAGCAGTGACTCTTCGGAGGAGCAAGGAAATGTCCTTAACCAATGGGAATTTTAGCAATTTTTATTTAAACCTCAGAGGAACTTAGAAGTCTACAAGTTAACGTTTAAAACTACGGGAACTCAAAGGATATATTATGACCAAACTTACTTGAAAACAATAAAACTGAGGCAGGAATGACTGTGCACACTTGTAATTCCAGCATTTGGGAGGCAGAGACAAGAGCGGAAGATGTACCCAATTTAATTGGCAATAGGGTGGGAGGCTGGGGGGGTGCAGGAGGAGGGGAGGGAGAGGGAACTGGGATTGACATGTAAAACAAGCTATTTAAAATTAAAATAATTAAAAAAAGAAAAAAGAGTCATAAGTGTAAAATACAAAACTTCCAGAAAACAACAGTGGTAGCAGGGGAGGGGTCCTTAGATTTTCCAGTAAGTTTCCAGGAAATTTGATCAGGTAAGTGCAAGTATTAGAAAAATAACTTCAAGCTTAGTTTGAGCTGGTCTGCAATGATAAAACAAGATGGCACCATTACAAAGACAATAATTACATTTAGAGTAGATGAGACTTACTGAAGACATCATAAGTGGTTCAAAAAATATTAATTCTCATATTACTCAAAATCAAATTGCAAAAGAAAAAAGACAATAAAAATCTAACATGGCTTTAATCATGTTTGGAGACAAGTTGGATGTGTGGGCTTTCTGGCCACCATTCTCTACTGAGGGTATTAGTCCTCAGGCTCTGTGGCCTTTGGCCCTGGATGCTACTGCATCTGTGACTGGTCTATATCTCCTTACTTCACATCTCCAGAGTTGAAATATGCAACTGCTGGTTTCAACAGGTGATTTCTGTGCACAGGACTTCCCCAATATTTTGAGAGTGATTTTAGTGTTGATTTCATGAGAATGCCATCTGTGTGACCCCACAGGTGTCCTTGTGTAGAAGGGCCGGTGTTTGGTTTAATGTCTTGCTGTCACCATCTTGAAATTCTTAAACAACTTTAAAGAAGGGTTCCACAAATTATCTAACTGGCCCTAACTCCAGAAGTAAGAAATCTGATCCGAGGATTCTGAGTTCCTCTTCATGTGTAGTCGGGTCTGTGTTAACTAAAATCAGTCGTCTATCTCAAAACACCTAAGAAATTAGAAATTGCAGCCAGGTCTGGTGGTGCAAGTCTGTAACCCCAGAGCTAGGATGCTGGGGCAGAAAGTTTGTGATCAGCTGGGGTATATAGTGAATGTGAGGTCTACATGGACTGTATGTGATACCTTGCATCAAAAACACATTTTCCAAAAAAAAAATTAAATAACAATTTACCATACACTAAACACAGAAAACTGGAAGGCTGGGTTGGTCTCCTGTATTTCTAGGAACTTCTAGAAAGTAGAAATATTACAGAGAATCTTTGAAGGCCTGGAATCTGATGCTTCTGGACAAAAACAAAGCTTAGAAAATCCAGTAGAAAAACACCTTTCTTTTCTGTGCTCAGCTCTCTTTACATGGAGATGTGTATTTAGATTTGAGGCTGTACTTTCATTTTTGTCCTTCTTGCTTGTTAATATTTTCTATATTGCTCTATCAATTCATTCAGTAAATATAAAGGAGGCCCCATTATGTAACAGGTATCATGCTTAACCAGTGACATAAAAAAGAAAGACAAAATGAAACAAATATACAACAAAGAAAATACAAAAGCCCATTTAAATAGTCCTTCCAGGTCTTGCTACATAGAGCCTTTATAATTTCACCACAGCATCAATTATTTGACCCCTGAACCTGGGAAATCAATACATTACATACCAGTGATATTGTGGTGTATTTTTTTAATGCCAGGTTTAATGATGCAATAATTGGAGAAAGTCGAACAATGTGAAAGTGCTCAGTATATGTTTAGAAGTGCTCCAAAGCTAAACCTTGCCACCTTTCTTTCCTATATGTTAAAATACACACAGCGTCACGGTGCTCACAGATCTGGCTTCCAGCCCAGTCAGTCCCTGAAGCCAGCAGAGCCCAGAGCAGCCATGTCTGCTACAAAGTGGGCTAAAAGCATTTCGCTTGCATTTCAGATGTTGAGTCTTTCTGCAAGACGGCAAATACTACCCTGTGTGCTCTGGAGCGGAGCTGATTTTAAAAGCTTCGGAGTAACTGAACCTTTTCTGACTTGTGGTCCAAATGAAAACCAGTTGGTCCCCTTCAAGACTTTCTTCATCACCAGCAGCACTACCAGGGCTCTTGGGTTCTGGAAAAGCATCTCTCTAGTTCATTCGCCAAAATACAAAGCAGCAGACATCTGATACCTACTTCCATGTCAGCTCCTGGGTTGAGGAAGTGACAACTGGTTGGAATTACACTGGACCTGGAAACATCCTGGGGTTCATTTATACTTGAGGTTACAAAATCACCAAGTGCTGTTTTTCTGGGGTAGGCAAAGCAGGGCAGTGTAAAGGTATCAAGTAGCACTTACATATTTGGATATGAATGAAGGGTAGTAGTCCCTGACAGCTCAGCTAGATGAACTTAGTGAACTTCCAGTAAGGCACATGGAGGCTTTGGTTCCTCCCTTCATATTCAAACTACCGCTTTCTCCCTTGGAGTCAATTTCCATGAGAACTGACAATTTTCTTTCCCTAAACCCCACCCCCATTAGGCACATGACCAGTTGGAGCCAATCAGAATCCTACTCCAGGTTTTCTCACTAGCTCCGAAGGTGAAGAGCGTCATCTCTGATTCCTAGACTGTGGGAACATAAGAGCTTGGCTTAGCGATGATCTTAGGGAGCCCAATGGCTAGGAAAGCTGGAGCTAGAATGTTGGGAGAAGCTCCACATTCGTTGCTCAAACTGCCCTTTCAAGTTAAGCTTAGATATACTTGAAGAAGCTGGTCATGCATGCCACTTCAAATTGCTCTGTCAGTGAAATCTCGCTGGTAGCCTGAAACCAGCCGTGATGCGATACTTCACTACAAAAATTAGCACACATTACAAATTAGGCCTTCATCTTTATATGGTACCGCTGATCGCTAAACATTTGCCAGTGCAACAGAGTACGTGGCCCATTTAATTAAAAGCTTAAGAGTGGGTATCAGTTTTATATCTTCAAATAGTGGCCTTTCTACAATCTCTTTTTATTCTGTCTTCTATGTCCCTTAAACTCTTGTTTAGTTTTTGTTTTTAATCTCTTCATCCAGTGCTTAATTCTGGGTTATTTTCTCGGTTTTCTACCCAATTCACTAACTTTTTCCTTGGCCGTACATTTCTATGTCTGACTCACACATGGGGATATCAATGACATGGATTTATTTCTAGATGCCTGTACTTTTCAGATTTACCTCCTACATATTGCTATGTTGTTAGTGTGTTCTATCACATTTAGGATAATTTTTAATAGTTCTATTACCTCAACTGTGTAGGGATTTAGAATTCTTCTTTAGAGTCTCCTAACTCTATCTTGACAGTTGATCCCTTCATGGTATTTAGAAGTTTTCATTGTCTCCCTTTTTCCTCTTCATACCCTTAAAATGTACTGCATACCTAGGTATGCAACCATCTTGCTACAAAATCATTTCATTTTTTGCATCATTCTGAAATAAAATTTGAAGATAGCTTCACAGCTTGGACATTCCAGCACTAAGTTAGTAATACAAATCCCACTTTATATCTAGCTGTGATTCAGTGATCTGAAAGATAGCATTCTTAGACACACTATCTGAACCAGTTAGCAGATTTCTCCTGGTTCTACTTTCCTGATAGACTTCCCTTTCTAGGATCCTGCTCACTTATAGCCACTGCATTACCTCTCAAGTTTACAAAGACATTGAACCAGCCTCCAATGCAATCCCCTCTCCAGCCTTCAGAACCCTCACCTGCTCATAAGTTTGCTGCCTGAGCCTAAAATCGTCTTTATTTCTGACATGCCAGAAGAGATCTTTTCCAAACTTAATTTACATATTTGAATTTTATGTTTCTAAATTGTATCTAACATGTCTATGTTTTCATGACTGGAGAACTCAAAAGTAGATAGAGATCTTGTTAAATCAATTGACCTGCTGCCAAAACCAGAAAACAATCCTATTTTCTTAAAATGTATACATGTCTTTTAATCTGCTTATATGCACAGAGAAAATTCTAGAACGGTAACCACTTAATGCTAATAGTTGCAGAGACATGGGTGTGTTTGTTTGTTTACATGTTTGTTGAACTTTCTGTATATGGATACCCAATGACTATTTTGGCAATTGTCTCA